TCCAAGAAAAATTACTAATTCAGGATTACTCTGGAGTATTATATCAATTGATTGTTTAATTAATTTGGGATGAAAAGTCGTTTGATTTTGTTGAAGATGAAGATCAGAAAGGATAACTACCCTGTGTGAGTGAGTAAGATTTTCTATAGGAAGAGTTAATGACACTGGAATTACATTGTGGTATGGAATAGAATGAAAATGAATAAAGACAAAGAATAGAAAGAGAGAGAATGTAATTAGTTGTGAATAAATAAAGAGAGAGAAGAGTGATATAAACATTAGAAGTGCTGAAAAATTATAGAAATTCATCATAAAAGAAAAGGATGAATGAAAGATAAACAGTTTTTTTTGACAAACACAAGCAGAAAAGAGAAAATCTAAAAACTTAAAAATGAAAAGATGAGTGAAATACTCCAATCACCATTCAACGTTATTAAAGGAATTAGTGTTGGACCATTTAAACTTGGAATGCCATTGTTTGAAATTTTAAAGTCATTGGATATTGGACCAAGTGCAACCAATTCTGCACAAACATATATTAGTTATAATGAAGAATATCCAACAACAGGAAGGATTGTTATTAAAAATTTGGCACATTCATTAACGTTATATGTTGATGCTAAAAAACAAATTCTTATTTGCATTGAAATTGAGCATATGAAAGTTCAACTCAAACGGTCTGCTCATGAATTTCTTGTCCATACATCAGCATCTCCACAAGATCAAGAGGACACTTTTGGAAAATTGTCTACAGCATTTAATAAATTGAAAGAACGAACAATCAATAATATGACAGAATTATATGATGGTTCTATTGTATTTCAGTTTTCTGGTACTGCAGAGAAAGGAAATGAAAGGAAGAAATTAGGATTAACAAAAATTATTATTAAAGATGACAAGATAGAACCATTAAATGAATATGGATTATCTTTTCTTCAAGTTGATATTGATGTTCTTGCACAATCATTAATTGTAGGAAATATAATATTATATCATAAGGAACATGTTGAAAAAGTGACTGCTGACCTTGGTTTTCCACAAGGAGAAAAGAAAGTCAACACAACTGGAGATTATTTTTATAACTATTTTTCAAGAGGATTTGATATTCTCTTCGACTCAACAACTCATTGCATTAAAAAATTTGTTGTTCATTCAAACAATCCAAGTGATACATTCTTTGGTAATTATTCTAAATGTTTCTTTAATGTAAAATTCTCTAATGGTGTTATTGTTACACCAGAATCATTATGGAAAGAATTGAATTTCAAAACAGAAGATCCAACACTTCTTAGTGATAACATTGAATTATACCAATATGAAAATTGTTCTTTTGAAATTCATTCTAAAACAAGTTCAATATTAACTATTTTTATTTGAACAAAATCGAAACAAGTTCTTAAATTATAATTTCATCTCCAACAATAAATTAGATAAGGTTTTAATTTTTATTTGTCTTATTTATCATTTCTAAGAATATTTTTAATTTCTCAGAACTGTATGTTGATGGTATTTCCAAATCCTTAATATCATCATAAGTGAGTCCAACATTTATAATACATTCTTTAAAATATTTAAATTCTTCTTCTGTCAATTTTAAATCACAAACTTTTGGTTTGTGACCTTTTTCACTTTCCTGTTTTAATTTCTCATTTTCCTTCTTTAATGCTTGTATTTCTTCATCTTTTAAATTAAGCTCTTTTTTCATTCTATCACATTCTTTCTGAATAAATTCAATTCGACTTTTTGATTCTTCCTGAAATGTTTGATAATACAATTCCATTTGTTTGTCTGTCATAAATTGAAATTTAAAGTGTTTATTTGATTTTTTTATTTTTTCTTTTATGTTTTTTTGTAACCTAATAGAAAACTATTACCAAACTATCAACTCATCTAATAATGCTTAGCTGGAAACCTTCATATCCCCCTTGTCCTGATTTAACTTCTTCTGTTGAAACCATACCAACTGCAAAGGGGTTCATCAACCAACTGGATGAACACTTGATGAATAATAATGGAATAGTCTTATTTGAGAAAATTGTCAATTTTATCTTTAGTCAGCCAACGTTGGGGTATTTTGCTATTCCTCATTACATTCGCTTTAACGAAAAAACCCCAATCCCTTTAATTAATTTCGTGAGACACATTATCCAATATGCTCCATTTGATGAATTACCCGATTGTATTCTTCCATGGATTGTATCAACAGCACTGGAATTAATTAAAAGCCATGAACCTAAAGACACCTTAGATGACCAAGACAATCTATTGTATGAACTATACAAAATTCTTATACAGGCGGTGGTTATTGACAAAAAAGTAATTAGTTTGATCAACCAAACTCTTCATATCATCATCAACCAACTTATTTCAATTCATCCATTACAATTCAGAGAACTCAGAAACACTGTTTATCAACTTATATCTTATTTACCAAATAAGGATGAGGTAATGAATCAAATTACAAATCAATTGATCACTCAATATCACCAACAATTTATTGAAGCATTATTTACTAAACCTGACAACTTAAGTAAATATTGTGGAATAGAGAATTGTGGTGCTACTTGTTATATTAATAGTGTTATTCAACAACTTCATAACAATGAATCTTTTAAAGAGTCTATTCTTCAAAATAATTGTGGTGGTTCTTGTTTCATATTAAAAACATTATTTGAACGAATGGAACAGAGCAAAAACTGGATTGTGACAAGAGATGTTATTGAAAACATTCTTGGACCATCTAACAAAATTGATATTAGTGTTCAAGATGATGCATATCTCTTCTTAACCAATTTACTTGATATTCTTAATGAAGATAACAAAGCACTAATCAACAGTTGTGTCAATGAATTTAAAGTTATTACAAAAACAACACTAAAATGTACAGAGTGTCAAAAAGTTCGTGAAAGAAATGAAATAAATACATCAATATCTGTTGATTCTGTGAACAATGAATCTTTGGACCAAGCACTGAGTAATTTAATTAAAGAAGAAGAAATGAATGATATTGATTGTCCATTTTGTAACAAAAAAACAAAACAAATCAAACAGATGAATTATGAACCATCTGAGAGTCTCATCATTGGAATTAATAGAAATAAAACTATTGAAGGAGGAAGAAGCTATAAATTTAATAAACGATTTGACTTTCCTCTTAAAATGAAATTGAATGATAAAGAAATGATATTAAATGGTATTGTTTTGCATTCTGGAACAACAGAAATGGGGCATTATACATCAATCATTAAGGATAATAATGGGAAGTGGTGGAAATGTAATGATAAAGTTGTTGTGGAATATAATGAAAAAAGAATCCTTGAAGATGGATATGGAACGGTGAGCAACTCATTATCAGCATCAATTCTATTTTACAAAACAAAAGAACCTAATCAAATTCAAAATACCAACAAAGAACAAGTTCAAAACAATAACGAATGTAACTCTATGAATATTATTGTCCATGATAAACAACTCTATGAATGGACTGAAAAACAAATAATTGACTCTTCCTCACAATGGAAGAGTCAAGAATGCATTGACTTACTTACTCTCATACTCTATAAAGGAGAATATTCATTCTTTAAAGATATTGATTCTTTAATCACCACAATAGAAAATAAATCAATCTCAATAATACAGGAAATTGTTTCAAAACAAAATGAACTACCCACAATCATTACTGACTGTGTTGTTGGTACAACAACATTAAAACATGCTTTAATATGTATTGAATTATTTGACAAAACATCAGAAAATAATACCTGGATTGCAACTAAACTTGTTGAATTAATCCCAAAATATACAACTTCACATCAACACAACCTTCTTTCAAAATTGTTTGTAAAATGTGAAGAATGGTTTGGTTTAGGTGAGGCAACTCCTTATGAAATAAAGATTCTTCACTTACTTGTTCATTCTTCTTCTCTTTCAGAAGAGTCATATCAGTTACTTTTAGTTCTTTGTAATTATTTCCAACAATGGCTTATTCAAAACGATATTCCATTTATTCAAGATGTACTTTCATTAATTACTACTACATCTCAGTTAAATGATATTAAAAAATACAAAGACTCATTAAAAAAACTCATCAAAAACACAGGAACTTTTCTCAATCTTCTTCCTCTTCTTAAATCACTCATACAACGACTAATCACAGAAAAAGACACCGAAAAACAAACAATATTGAAAGATTTGATT